TGGCTGCTGCAGCTTTTCCTCTCTGTTCCCACTGGGGCGGAGGCAGCTCCGGGAACTGGAGTTAGAGTGGGAGACTGGGTGTTATTCTGCTTAATCTGCAGGGCATAGTCCTGCCCCAAGCCTGAAGGGGATCCAATGCTTGAGCCCTTGATCCTGCTTAGAGTTGCCTGTCTCACTGTGTTGGTGGCATCAAGCATCGAGGCCACCATCTCGGCATAGTCCTTTGACTCTGTGCCGGGGTGGCTGTGGAGGTAAGAGGAAGGGTCTTAGTAGTAGCCCAGGGAGCTATTTTTGCTATTGAAGGCCCAGGCTCCCAGGAGAAGTGCAGAAAATGAACTTCCTGGCACAGGCCTTTCAGCAAAGGTCATCCATCCAGGGATCAAGATGTAGCTGATTCTAGCTGATCAAAGCCTCCCGTTTTATAACCTGGGGATCTCGGCCCATCAGCACAGCAGATACCCCAGACTGCAGGAAACAGCTACTCCTTGTTTGTATTAAGAGGCTTAGGTAGCCTGTAGAGGTCTAATATCGTCACAAAGAGTGGGGTAATGGGCCAGCTGGTGGCATAGCCATTAAGGTGGCTGGATCCCACATGACTGACGGCGGTCTGAATCCCAGACATGGTGGCTGACTGTAGTTCGATTCCCAGACCTGTGGCTTTAGAAACACACCAGGCACATGTCTGTGCGTGCATGCCCAAAATCCTGAGAGGAAAATGGAGGAGATTTTGATGTGGCCACCCCCACTGGGGGGTGTCTCTCTCTCTCTGTAGCAAGTGCACATGCTCCACAACAACAACAACAAAAAAGAAGTTGTGGTGAAGTTGTAGAGAGCTAGTAAGCTTCCAGGCCTCCTTCCCTGGGAGTGGGGCCCTGTTTAGCTCAAAGCTGCATAGGGTTGGAGGGAAGATCTGGTCCCCAGGTTCTGTTCCAGGTTGGGCCTGACCCTACTGTCTTGCTGGTAAGAGGAAGGCTAGGGCCAACAGTGCCCTTTTCCCTGTCCTTAGTGACCGGGACACGCAGCTGGCACGGCTGATGCAGCGGAACAGCCTGAACCGTGAGGACGCAGAGGCCCGCATCAAGGCCCAGCTGCCCCTGAAGGAAAAGGCCCACATGGCCCGCCATGTGCTGGATAACTCAGGCGAGTGGAGCAGCACCAAACGCCAGGTCATCCTCCTGCACGCTGAGCTGGAGCGCTCCATGGAGTACCTGCCACTCAGGCTCGGGGTCCTCACAGGTCTGGCTGGCATCGCGGGCCTCCTTTACTTGCTCATCCACTACCTTCTGCCTTCCCCGTAGCTGGGCACTCTGAGGAAGGAAGCCACAGGCCCCATCTCCTTGGTGGCTGAAGTTGGGTAGCACATCCCGCTTCCTTCTAGCCCCTTGGCACACACAGGGACGGACACACACACATGTGAATCTGGCCTGGGCCCTGCACTGGACTAACCTTTCTTTGGAGTGCGTCCCTAGCAGGACGCACTCCAAAGAAGCAGTCCACGGTGTGTAGGAGCTCCTTCCTGCTTTTCCCAGAGCCTCCCAGCCCCCGGCACACCTACAGAACAGTGTGCTTGATGGTGCCTAAGAAAAGACAGAGGCCGGTAGAAATTTCTGAGGGCAGGGGTGGGGGACACTGTGGCTCCCTCCAGCGTTTACAGCTGAGAGGCCAAGGGTTCCCTGGGCTTGAGCCCTCTCCAAGTGCATGCTCCCTTGTGGAATCCTCCTTAGTGAGCCACGAGAACTCATCTTGGACCCAGGGCTTCTCCCTTAAACAGGGTTCTCCCCTGGCTTGAAGCTCTTGGCCAGGCTACAGCAAGCGTTCTCTTGTGGGTAATGCTGTAGCAAGGCAGAGGCCAGGCCTCTCCAGGGAAGTCTGGTTTCCCGGAGGCTTTCTCTAGTGTTCCTGACACCCTGCTCACCGCCTCCCACAGCTCTGCCTCCAACTGGTGGACTCAGACTGAGCTCTGGTACTCCATAAGCACCATGCTGTTTCTCACCTCTGTGCCTTCCCCTGCACTCGGGCCTGACTGCCTTTTCTTTTCCTTTCCCACAACTGGCCCACTCCCAGCTCAGGCACCATCTGACGCCCCGCCTGGGGTTGGTGCTCTGGGACTCCCCACCTGTTTGACCTTAATCCGCAGTGAAGTAACCAGCCACAAGCTGGCTGGTTTCTCCCTCTAGACTGTGAGCCCTTGAGCAGGGACAGTGTCATTCATCTCTGTTCCGAGCACAGAGCCTGGCTCGCCGTCAGTGCTTAATAAAGTGTGTTGGTCTGAGATGCTCCAGACCAATGGAGTTTTCCAGACTTGGCAGGTCCACTTGAGGTTACACTCGGCTCCTTTCCACAGTGGAGCCTGGGCACCTCTTTCCGGGCCCCTGATGGTACCTTAGCTGCCTGACTTCTGAGCCCCATGAGGGCTCTAGCCAGGGCTGGCTGGGCAGCAACACAGCCACTTGCCCCGCTGCTCCACTGGCCTTCTCCAGCCCAATTAGACCAGACAGGAGCCGGCGGACCTGCTGATGTGTTGATCCTGCAGCCAGTAGTCTATTAAGGCCAGAAATGAGTGTGACAAATGGGAATGCAGCGGTGGCCATATTTAGTGCCCCTTTCCCGAGCTACTCACTCTCCTCAGAGATGAGCTCATTAACTCACTGCAAACGCCCATGGGAGCAAAGAGCTGGGCAAGGCAGGAGTGAGCCTGCTGCTTCCCCAGTTTGGTGGGCTAGGGAGGGGAAGGTATGGACCCCCACTGGCCCTGTTGCCCTAGCATTTGCAAAATGGCCCTTAAAGGATGTCCGTGGCACTCCGGACTCTGCCTGATGAGTGTGGCACCTTGTAGGTAACATGGCATTTTCCCTTGACACTGCCCGGGGAGTCGGGGGTGGTTCGGCTCACAGAGCCAGGTTCTGAGCCCTACTCACTGTCCCTGAGCCTGGGGAGGGGGAGCAGATGACCTGGGATTGGAGGCTGCTTCCATCCCCTACTTGCTGCCTCGGTTCTCCTCTCAGGCTTCATGCTGCACACGTCACAGGGAACATCCTACGCGAACACTTGGGGGCAAGCTGGTGGCGGTGGTTAAGACAACGGGGTCCCACATAGCCAGCTGTGGTTCCAGTCCCAGACCCAGCAACTTGAAAAACTCTGGGCTCATGCCTTAACACACAAAACCCCAAAAGGATAGAAAGGATTGTGGTGTGGCCATTACCCCTGGGAGTGATTTCTCTCCTAACCTCTCTCCAGCGAACTCATGTGCCTTACAGCAAACAAAAAAAAAATCACTTCTTCCTGGAGCTTGTCTGCCAAGTTTGCTGTGAGTTGTCGAAGCCTAGCCAGGTTGGAATGTGGCCCACCATAGCCTGGCTCCACCTCCCGCCTCCCAGGCGACCTTGGAGAACAGCTAGCTTTCCCCTGGGCTGAGCGAGCTGGATCTCATGTTGAGGCGCTGGTGGGAGCTCCCGGAACGCCGGCTACCCGGAGCCCACCCCAAGTCCACCCCGCACCCGCGCAGGCAGCCTCCCCACCAGCCAGCAGGTGGCAGCACTCGCCCGGGTTGGGGCTGGGCCTTGGCAGCCGCGCTTGCGAAGCTGTTCTTAACTTTCTCCCGCCGGGAGCAGAGCGCCTCAGGTCCCAGCCAAGCGGCTGCGTGGGGGGCGCAGGCCCGGGGCCCCCGGCGCCACGCTCTGAGCGAGTCGGGGAGCGGGCTCGCTGCCTAGCCCCGGGCGCTAATTAAAACGCTGCTGCGCTCGCCTGGCGCCGCAGGTACTGAGAGATGTGTCCAAAACACGTCCCCCGGGAGGGTCGCTCCCACCCCCCAGCCGTGCGCCCAGATGCTACGCCCTGCTCTCTCACTTTGGGTCTTTGCATCCCGGGCGCAGCGATGAAAACACCAAGGAGGGTTGCAGGCACCCCCGCCAGTCTCCGGCCTGGGCCGGCGCAGGGCAGCTGGCCGAATTGTGCCGGTGACACGGCAAAGTGCCGGTTACCTTGAAATCCCTCCGTGCCGAGAGGGAGTCGGGGAGATAGGGGCCGCACCGGAGAGCCTCAGAGTTGAGCCACAGGCGAAAGAACCGACAAGCATAACGGTCAAGCGTCCGGACTCGGCGGGAGTAGGCCCCTCTCGCCACCTGCACTGCTCCATTCGTTAAACTTGGCTCCTTAGAGCTCGGTATTGACCAGTCCTCAGGTGTCGAACCTTTCCTTGTTGGGCCGTGGTGGGGCTGGCCCAGGGCAAGGTTTGGGACAGTCCGTGAGCCTCCGTGGCTACAAACAGCTGAGCGCCCCTGGTTCTAGCAAAGGCACTTTAGGTCTGAAGGAAACAGTCCCAGGAACAAGAAAGAAAATGAGTGGCAGTGATGACCCCAGCCCATGGGAGCTCATGGGAGCGGGCTGGGGAGAGCCTTGGACGTGGTGGGAGAGAAGAGGGATGAAGGAGGTGCCGAGGACCCACGGTTTGCCTCCCCGCTCCTTCCAGGAAAGGGAGATGCGGCCAGTGGCTGCTCGGTCCCACCCGCAGAGTTGAGGCTGCACCCAGCTGGGACCCAAAGCCGCCTTTCTGTGCTCCCCACTCCGCCTCCCCTCCCTGTCGCTCAGATTCCAATACAATTTCCAGCTAACCAGCATGTCGATAGAACAAGTCGGGCGGCCGGATTGCTGGCCAATTACAGGAAATCATTCTGCTCCACAGCTCAGCGCTCAGGAGAGAGGGAGGGAGGGGAGAAGGCGGGATTGGGGGGGCGGGGGAGGCGGGAATGGGAGCGAGCAGATGCCGGGCTCTCAGGCTGGAAGGGGCTCAGGCAGAGGCGGGGGAGTGCAGCACCCCCTCAGGGGAGAGGAGGGCTGGAGTGAGAGGAGGTGGATGGGGAGGCTCTGGGGGTAGTCCAGCCCCAGGCTCTTCCTCAGCCTCACACAGAGCTGGGGATCCAGCCTCCCTGCGGTGGGAGATTTGTACCCCAAATCAGAGAGAGCACTGGGGGCTGAAGGCAGATGAGGGTCCAGAAGGAGGCATCTGCTTGGAGTTGGAGGGGACAGAGGGAGGATGGTGAAAGCACCCTGGAGTGGGGGTGAAGATGGCACCCAGGCCTTGCTCCCCCCCCCCCAGCCTGCAGGGCCATCTGAGTGTGGAAGCTGGGCCCACAGGGGCAAGACCTTGCTGCAGATCAGAGGGCCAGGGGATCCTAGGGACAGGAGAAGGGGTATAAAGGGGAGGAAGGAGAAAGTAGCCGGGGCCTGTAGCTAAGTGGCCCCCCTTGGCCCCAGCCATCCTTCCACCCCAGAAGGTGGGCAGAAGTGTGGGAGGGGCAAAGGCCTCTCACTTACCTTCCCAGCCTCCCCCCCTCCCCCCTTCCCCCCCTGCCTTACTTCCCGCTCGGGTCCTCATGTGACAGGAGCCTGCTCTCCTCCACTTCCCATCTGTCTGACTCTCCCCAGCCTCCTATGCCTGCCTGTCGCCCTCCTGCCACCCCCGCCCCCACCACTTCTCCCAGAATGTCTTTAGCCTACCCAGGCTGCCCACCCAGAGGCCCCGCCTCCCTGCACCAAGGGCTGACTCCCCTTCTCTGCCCCAGGGTCTTTTCCCAAAGGACTGGAAGATCCTCGAGGGACAAACATCCTGTGGACCAGCTGCCCAGTGAGTGGCTGTCATTGCTTTGAACCCCAAAAGGAGGAAGCTGTGACTTTTGGTGTCTTCCTCTGCTCCAGGCTGTGGCCACCTCCTCATGCCCCCTCCCCAAGTCCCCAGGTCCTACTGTTCCTCCCGCAAGGCAATCCCGGACCCTCTCTTTCAGCTCCTCCAGAGATAGGGCCTGGGTTAGATTTACTCTCAGCTCTTGGGCCAACTCAGAGTTGATGGATGGGCAGATGGACCTCCTGCCACCCAGCACCCTGGCACCCTGCAAGTCCAAGAGAGTCTGAGTGCACGCAATTGAATGGCAAGGCCTTCCCTCCAGGTTCCTTTGGTGCATTGGATGAGCAGGTCAGCGTCCCAGGGCCTCTCCTTCCCCAGGCTCTCTGTCCGAGGACAGAGACTCACGTCCAGGGTGGAAGTGTGGAGGCGGGCCTCTTTGTGTCCCCAACTTGGCACATGGTGGGTGCGCTTGGGCTCCGCGGAGCTGGGAGTAAGTCGCAGCTCCAGGGCCGATACCACGGCCTCGGCGGCGGGTCTCTCGGGCGCTGCCTCTCGCAGGCCGGGGTGCCCCGCAATCCAGAAGAGGGCGCCCGCCTGGGCCTGGGCCGCAGTGCCCCGCGCCGGGCGAGTCGCGCTCGGCAACCCGCAGGCTCCGCGCCATCGATCTGGCCGCCGGGACCCGGCGATCCGCCTCCCCACCTCTCGCTTTTCGCTTTTAATTGAAGTTTGTTTGAGCAGAGCGCGGAGCGGGCAGAGGCAGAAACCAAATATTTAGTTGCTGCAAATTGGCACCTCCAGATCAATTACCCGGCCCGTGTCAGGGCCTGCGCCGCCCCCCGCGCCCCGCGGAATCTCAATGCGGCGCTGCCCTCGCCGGGGCCGCCCTCGCCGCCCGCCTCCATTCCGCGGCACGTTTCTCATCAGCTCCAGCCATACATCACCCGTGGCCGCGAGGGAACAGATTTTCAATGGGAAAAGTTCCCCAGGAGGGTCCTTGTTGCCGATTCCCGCCGCGCCTGGTGCTGTCTGCCCCCTCCCCAACCGCCCCGATCTGGCCTGTCTGATGGGGACAGCCCTGAGTGAGCTCTGAGCAAGGACTTTGGGTCACAGAGACTTGGCCCCAATCCCAGTAACTCCTCTTTCCCGCTGGGTGACCTTGGGAAAGTTACTTATGCACCCTGAGCCTCAGTTTCCCCATTTACAAAGGGCTCAGCCTTCACCCTGTGGGGTCATGGAGGGACACTGCCAGGCACTGACACATAGATATTAGTTCTCAGCCCTGGGTGGGGTAGAATGGGTTCTAAATGAAGTGAGAGCCACTAAGTGGGAGGCATCTCAACGAAGCCACTAAAAACGCCTGCTGGAACGCAGGAGGCAGCCAGCCCCTCAGAGTCCCTGGCAGGGGCTGGACAGGAGTGATGACCCTGGGCAAGCGCCATCCGGGAGAGGTCTGAGCCCCAGCCCAGGTGCATCCAAAAGAGAAGCTGCTTGTCCAGTACCAAGGCTTGTGAGTAGGCTTGGTGCTGAGCCCCAGAGGGCCATGACCTCCAGGTTGGGCCAGGAAAGGAAGGCCGGAGGCAACCAAAGAAGGTCACCAAAGGCTCCTGACCTGTGCCAGGCTGCATCTCAGGAGGCCGTGCAATGGCAGAGGGTGTGGAGGACCTCAGGCAAATTACTGAAG